AGATATGAAAAAAGTACATTTTTATGTTTTTCATCGTATAAAATTTTGTCCGATAATAATACATAGGCGTAGAACTTGATTTTTTAAATAATTGCACCTTTAAAAATTCTACGCCAATGGCAAAAAAGGGTTTGAGTATGAAATTTGGATTGGGTACTCATTTACTACAAAAAAGTACCCTTGATAACACTCGATTTACTCTCATGGTTTTGACAAAGTTTGTATTTTAATAATTATTGTTTATGTTCTAAAATTACTAAAATGCAAATTTCGTCAAAACCATGAGAGTAATCGAGTCTTATCAAGAGTACCTTTTTTAAAGTAAATGAGTTGCGCAATCTAAATTTCATACTCAAACTCCTTTTCTTCGATTGGCGTAGAATTTTTAAAGGTGCAATTATTTAAAAAATCAAGTTCTACGCCTATGTATTATTATCGGACAAAATTTTAATACCATTTTTTTGTCACATAAAATTCTACCAATATACCAAATTTTAGCAAAATCGCATATGCCGTTTTAAATTTATATGGAAAAAACGATTTAAAAAGTGTAACTTTAAGGCCCTCTGGAGCCCAAACGAAGCAACTTTGTACTGAGGTAATTTTACTTAAATCGACTTATTTTGGTCTAAGGAATATGTGGTATGTTTTTGTAAAGACCTTTTACAGACACCCTGTATATAAATACCAACGGGAATATTCTTAGTATATATGAATGGGAAAATTTAAGATATTCTGAGAATATTATTCAGGATTATTCTAGGAATATCTAGGACAGGATATTCATAGCTTATCTTCGAATTATTAATTGGGAAAATTCTAAGATTAATCATAAAAACTTATTCCAGTTATATCTAGGATACTCTTAAATTATTTTCTGAATATTATCTTTAGACTAATCAAGATTCATCAAAAAATGATATACTATGTAGGTTTAGGAATTTTTTAGGTAGGTTTAAGGATATTCTACGTAGAAATTAATGATATTCGAGGTAGATGAAGACTAACTCAAATATAGTCGCTTCAAAGCAGCAGTAGCACATCAATGAAATCTTAATTGGGAAATAATTCGATTTAAAACTTTCATGATTATTTTAATCTTGAATAACTCTGGCATAACCAAAGAGGTTAAAAAGGGTAGAGGTAACATAGAAAGCATTTGCCCCTGTGCGAAATTTGCCAAAACCAAAGAAATGGGTGAAAGGAGTAGGGAAATGTTTTGGGCCGGAGTCGAATTACACACAAAAGTTTTTCTACGATCACACCAAAATAAAATAAATATTTTAATTTTATTAAAAATGACAATGAAACGATTGTTTTTACAGTGTGTTTTAAAAAATTAAATTAAAATGCAAATCTCTATTAAGTATAACAGATACAACTTATGCATTTTTAATATTTATTCTAATCGTAGTTTTTATAACTATATATCTTCAATTCTTATGTACTTTATAGTTAATTTATTTGGCCGTTTCCCTTAAATTATTAGTCACTTTGGTTTTTCAAATTCATCACCCTGTATATTTATTTATTTATTTATTTTATTTATTTATTTATTTATTACAATATCCTCGGGAAACAAAAAAATAATAATACAAAGCAGTATATCTGTTAAGCTATATATGAATGCTCACTGGAAAAAAACCCTTTAGGGAAAAAAAGTAAGCACTCATATGCAGCTATGTTCTAAGATTACACACATGGGTACATATGAAATTATTGACCAAATTCTGGACATCCGTCCTTCCTACAAATTACCCCGAAGAATGGTTTTTTTAATTTGAGCAGCTTTTTTGCAAAAAATATCAATACTAGGTTCAATTGAAGAGTAGTCAATGATGAGCTGATTCAACGGAGAATATTTGTAAATATTTGTCTTATGTGGTAATTCATAATTTGGTCTAGGAATTTAGTGACGATACAATATTATCACATTTAAAAATATAGTTAACAATTTTATATAAAAACATAATTGAATGCATTGACCGACGACGAATTAAACTACAGCTATCAAAACGAATATAAAAGTGTTTTTGAGGTGTGCCTCTAGCGGGATAAAGACCGTCCAATATATAAGAATCCGACTTAAAGTATCTTCTTTGCACTCGCTCCAAAGCGGAAATATGAATATTATAATTCGGGCTCCAAATAACACAAGCATATTCTAGTTGCGATCTTACAAAACCCGAAAACAAAAGATTCAATGTATTAATATTATTAAAACATTTCGCATTTCTAAGAATAAAACCCAGCGACCGATATGCTGAAGAGATTGTTTTTTGTATATGAGGAATAAAAGATAACTTTGGATCAAAATAAACACCTAGATCTTTTAGGATATCTGGTCTGTCGAGGATAATATTACTTAAATTGTAATTAAATTGGATAGTTGATTCTTTCCGACAGAAAGACATTACGTTACATTTACTTGGATTCATAGGGAGCTTATTTCTGATACACCAATTATTAACATGATTAAGGTTTCGCTGGAGGTTCAAGCAGTCATTGACGGAGTTTATCTCACAGAATAGTATAATATCATCAGCATATATATCTTTATCAATATCAAGATCTTCGGTGATGTCATTTATAAAAAGATTAAAAAGTAACGGACCCAATATAGACCCCTGTGGGACACCGGAAGTTTGAAGAAAAGGTTGAGATTTATATCCTAAAGTTTGAACGTATTGAGATTTAAATACAGCAATTAACCTGTCATCTATTCCGAATAAGTTAAGCTTATATAAAAGTAGGCCATCATCAATCTTATCAAATGCTTTAGAAAAGTCAGTGTAGATAATATCAACTTGACTTTTCTTCTCCAGCGTTTCACAAATGAATTGGGTCACGCAGAATAGATTAGTCACTGTGGACCTACCAGATGTGAAGCCATGTTGTTCGGGTATGATAATATTACTGGCATGAAATGCAAGGTGATTATGGATATTCAGTCATTATTGGAATCTCCCATTCAATACGAGTTCAACCATATGAAACACTTGATTTTATGTAGTCTGGAAGGTCTTAAATAAATAAAATAAGTCTGGCAACGCCTAATTGTCTCAATAAATATTTTAATACAAACTATTTTCAACTACATTAAAACGTAACAATTGAAAGATTATAACATTTTTAACATAATGGTTACTTTAACAAGTGTTCAAAATGTGCTCCATTTGTGAGTTGACAGTACCCTAATCGATGGTAGAACGCGTCTACCATATTTCTCCATGATTGTTTTATTTATTTAAGACCTTCTAGACTACATAAAATCATAAGTGTTACATATGGTTGAACTCGTATTGAATAGAAGATTCCAATACAGGGTGATGAATTTGAAAAACCAAAGTGACTAATAATATAAGAGAAACGGTAAATCTGGCAACATTGCAAATATCAAATCTGAAATCTCCGTATACCAAAATAGGTGTACCCCAAATTTTGTACAATTAGGATTAGCAATTTACGATATAATTGGCCGTTTCCAGACTTTTGGGCCACTCCGTATAGGTATATGAATAAGAACATAATAGCTATGTATGCAGCTAGTTACGAAATGTCATTTCGTAACGTGTTACATACATTATTTTTTTCTAATTTTGATTAGATTATTTATAAAATTGTGTTTTGGTAAAACGTTACTGACATCTAGGCCACCAATATTACTTCATGTATTGTTAGTCGCATAAGCATTATTTTATTGACAAATAACACATCATATTAATTATTTATTCTCAACGATTTGTAGTTCTTTATATTGCTTATTAAAATTATTTACTTTCCAAAAAAGTGTGTTATTTTATCGTGTATTGTGTTAAGTATTTTTTGCCAAAACAACATTATTACTAAGTTGTAAGTCTAACCAAATTTTATTTGTTTAAGTTAACCTGCCTTTCTTTAAAATAAATTTTAAATATTAATGTAATATATTGATTTTAAAACCAAAAAAATAGTTTTATTTTTATTTGTTTTCTTTTCATAACTGGTGACAAAATTAATTTTTGTAACCAGTTTCATAATGTTCAAATTTATGCAACTGGTTGCGTGAAATAGATCATTTTGACACTTGCTGCGATTACAAAAAATGTCACTGTCAAAATTAGAAAATAGTAGTTTGTGCATTGGATATGATTGGAGACTAATTAAAATACATCTTTTTTTAAGTTTATTTTATAAATTAGTAAAAGTCATATTTAAATAATTATTTTATCTTGACCCCAAAATATATTTTTTTAAATTTGTAGATTCTCGTTGGTGGGTCGTAGAAAAAGTATACTGTACAACTCGAGTGAATTGTTCGTATAGCATTCAGACGATTGAACACTTCACCTTCGGCATCGTGCTTAAACTTTGTCTATAAAACAGAAAAATACAAAACAAATTCCAACCCATGGCAACTTTTTGTTTCCCAGTTGCCAAATTAATTATTCGGCACATTTAAAAACCATGGCTTAAAACATGGCAATCTACTGTACCCAAATAGGGTCACACGGTCTGGGCAGAAATTACCGTGTGCACCATCAGTTGCGTTATTTTTGAGTAATGGTGAACTCCACATATTTCTAATTGGTTTACACTGATAACCGGATTTATTTCATTAAAATTTATTTTTGTAAACTTATCAGAAATCAAATACTAGAAAATTACGTAACTTTTTGTACACACTGTATATTGGATAAGTTGTTTAACACAACTGGAAAACTAGAAAACAAATTGTTTTGTAGATTTTGAATAGTAGCAGTGGAATAAATATGCTTAGAAACTTGTTTGTCTTTTATTGAAATTAGAATTTAAATACTATTTCTGCAGCTGAACCATATGCAACACTAAATACGCTAAAACCATTCACGTGCATAAATGGTTGCAGCCTTACTGCATTATCGAACGCAATTCAGCGTGTCGAACGCATATCAAAGTGGCAATGACATTATGTCAAAATGTTGACATACATCAATGAATTTGACAGTGACAACCAGTAACGTTAAACTTTACATGTCACACCGCAATCATCGTCCTTCACTTAAAAAACTTAAAGAAACGAGAAACTATTAAACTTACCGTTATCCTTATTAAACAGTAGCATAAGAATCTTTCTTGCTAACCTTTTTTATACATTTGTTGTTGATTCAAAAAACCCTATAAGGCTATGGCTAGGAAACATGTCAAGGAAATGTTTGAAATCTGTCCAAATGTGTAGTTTTTTATTATTTAAGCTCTATTCCCATCTTCCATTGCTAGTGCTATTTTTGTCTTAGTTTGTGGACAAGTTTACAATGGACTTGAGGTGAATACTACCATTAAAAATAAAACAACAACTTACTCTTTTGCACAATGGCTTCAATAAAGAGATCTTGGAAATTCCGTAAGTACTTTTTTTTGTTATTTATACCTGTTTTAGATCATCTGAGAACAGATGTGTACCTTTCTTGCTAAAATTAGTATGTAGTTTTAATTTAGCAAGGTTCTTAAAGAATTTTTGAACACTTAATATCAAAAATATTGGACAATAGGCTTTTTGGTCCAGTAATAAGCTGTTTTATAAACAAATTTATAAATGTGCAATAAAACAATGAACCTAGATTTCAAATTATATAGATATGTAGTTTAGGACTATATTTAGGACACATTAAATGGTGTTATTACACTATTGTTTTATGTAACATTTTTTGAATTTCTGTATACTCAAAAGCAATTACTTAATTAGTTTATTATTTAAAAACATACTGTAAACTAATTATACATATTTAAAGTTACTTTGATTTGTATTTATTAAAAATTAATGTTAAAAAAGATATTTATCATAAACAACTTTATAGTGTGGAATATAATTATTGTATTCTCTTAAAAAAACAGTAAGATGAAATTTAGTATCTGTATAGGTAAATACAAGACTGGTCCATCAATTGACAGTTATTCTAGTTTTATTATCTGATTCAAATTATATTGTGTCTGTGCAGGATCCTTTCCTTTTTGCCAATGCCATAATATACATAAGCTCTGACCCCAAAAATTATTACAATAACAAAAGGTCTAGTTACCATTTACCTACTCCCATGAATTATAAAGGAAAACAGGCTCATTGTACATAATAATGACATTATTAATCTTTTTGTTTCCTATTTTTTGAATATCTATTATATATAAATCGTTTATTTACATGTCAATACATATTCACATTTAAAATATTAAAAAATACATAAGTATAGAATCAACATACATTTAAAATACAATAAAAAATATATAAGATACAGTACACTTACATGTCAACTATACAAAACAAAATAAAAGAACAAGAAAAAAAAACATCAATTGGTCTGCAAGTACTCACACAGTTTTCTTTTAAATATTGCTATGTTTGAAGAATATTTAATATCTTCAGGCCAAATTATTAAAAGCCTGTACACCTTTAAAAAACACTGATTTTTGTGTACATTTTTTCGTGGCCTTATAAACTCTAAAAATTTTCTTATTTCTTGTATTGTGTTCCTGATTATAACTTAAAATATTTTGTAAATATACTGGGGAGATTCCTGATTTAATCTTAAATATAAGTAGCAGGGAATAGAATAGCAAATATTTTCTAACAGGCAACCACTGATGCACATTCAACATAGAATTGATTGGTTCCAATCTCGAACAGCTCAGTATTATCCTCATGTCTCTATTCTGCAACTTTTGCAATCGTTGCAACTCATTCTGGTTGAGCACATACAATATAGTGACACAATAATTAAAATGAGATAATATTAGAGTATTATAAATTATTATTTTAGCCCATTTGCTGAGATGTGGAGAACAGCACCTCAAATAGTTTATTGTAAATTATATGCTTTTGATGATGTTATTAGCATGTTCCTTAAATTGTAAATTTGTATTAACCATAACCCCTAGATATTTAAATATTTCAACTCTCTGAAACTTTAGTCCATCAACAGAAACACTGCGATGCTACATTTAATTTTTTTTAATTTCCAGTATCCCCAATTAACATCCACTTTGTCTTTTCATAATTTATTTTCAACAAGTTTCCATTACAATAATCATATATTTTACTTATAGAACTATTAATTTCTTTAAAACAAGTTTCAGTGTTTTCATGGGTATAATATATCAGTGTATCATCTGCAAATAAGTGTATTGAGCATCTTTCGACTACCTAGCAATGTCATTAATATAAATTAAAAACAGTAGTGGACTTAGAACACTACCCTGTGGCACCCACATCATATTCTCTATAGTATCTTAAACACAATTACTTACCTTAACCTTCTGTTTTCTATTTTCCATATAATGACCCAACCAGTCCAGTGCACAACCCCCCCAAACCAATAGCTCTTAATTTCATTAATAATCTACCCCTATTAATAGTCTCAAATCTCAAATCTAAAAACACCACCAGTGTAACCAAATTATTTTCAATAGATAACTTCCAGTTATGCAACACCAATTGTAAAGCAGTTTCACAGTTATGTTTACTAAGGAATCCTGATTGCACATTACTTATCAAACTGTTCCACTCTAAATAATCAATAATTTGAAGATATATTACTTTTTCTATTAGTTTTCCAACAGCACTGATCAAGTTTATCAGTCTTAAATGGGTAGCCTTACTTGGATTTGAAATTTTTGGTATCGAAATTATTGTAGCAATCTTAATATCGTCCGGAACTAAGCTTGTTTCAATAGAAAAATTTATAATATGTAATAGAGGTTGGGATAAACTCTCAAAAAATGCTTTTAATAAAATCGTGGATATTTCATTTGGACTATTTTTATTTGACATTGAAAATAATATTTCTTTTAATTCATTATAATTAATTAGTTTAAAATTTACAAAATTTTCAATTGTCACAAATATTGTTGAATTCAATATTAGTATTAGTAAAACTGCTTGCAATAGTAGGTGTTGGAATGAAAGATTTTAAAGTTTTCCACATCTCAGTAGGGTTGCCCTTGTTTAAATCTATTTTAGTTTCCAAGTATTTGCTTTTTTCATGTTTAATTATATTCACTGCTTTATTCCTAATAGATTTATATATTTGCCAGTTTTCCTCTGATTTGTTAGTAGTAAATATTTTATAACTTTTATCACTCACACTAGTAGGTAGCAGCTCTAACCTGATCATTCCACCAGTACTGATAATATGGTAAAATTTTAACTTGTTTTTGGTGCTACTTCATTGACAACTTTCAAAATTTTATTTAAAAAATCTCTGTATTTTTCATTCATGTAACCAATAATTCCATGAAATATCTTTTAGATTATTATTAGTTATTGTATAATCAATAAACCTACCTCTACTTTCAATAACCATCCGTTCCCTTTTCTGTTTTTGTTTGTTTAGTTTTGCAATAACATTTCTGTGACTACTGATTTTTTGGTGTGTCAGTTTCAATTGTAATGTCTGAGTTTGTCATAATTAAATCAATTAATGATCCTCCATGAGTTTGCATGTGTAAATTATTTTACTACATTCTTAAAATCCGTATCAGTAACAATATTTTTTAATCTTTTTGAATAAGTTGAATTACTATACCAATCATTATTGAAATCCCCAACCAAAATAACTTCTAAATTAGCATCAGTTAAATTCATTTCACACCATTCTTCAAAAAAGTCTAGAAACAAATTCATTCCAGTACTAGAAGATCTATAAAGGCATATTATCATAAACTTTTTATTATGTAAGAGTAGTTTTACTGAAATTAACCAATAAGTTATATCTAAAATTACTTTCTTAATATCTAAAATTTGTAATATCTGATTCACATAGACGATAACTTCCTCAGTATTTCACCTGTTTCTATCAGCTCTACATATTATACAGTGTGTCTACTTAAGTTGGAACCATATGGAAAACTTTTTTATTATTGGTTTTGTGAAAAAATGTATTCTTGATAAAAAGTTCTGCATAGTCCAAAACTTAAAATGCAACCATCAGATATCAATTTTTAAAAGCTGTATACGAGGTTTGCCAAAAAAATATGAACTTTACTCAAGAGTAAAGTACCTTTATGTTTTACAATACAGAAGAATGTTATATTATCTTTTACTGTCTTCTTAAGTTTATTAATTTCTTTGTGTTTCCACTTTTTCCTTTTCCATTGTATATGTCTGTTGCCATTCCAAAGAGCAATTTATCTTATTGCCTCCCAATTTAGTAGCATTTTTATTATCTCTTTCTAAACAGCTGTTATGATATACATTAAAACATACAACACAAATAAAAATTTTAAACTCATTATTACAGCATTTAAATTTGCAATCCATTTTCTTACCATTCAGTTTTAAAATTCAATTTTTATTTATTTAAAAACTTCCTTTCTGTAGCTCTCTCTTAAGTAACGCCACTGACATAAAAATTCTCATAATTTGTAAAATAAAATGTGGTTAGTACCCTTTATCTTATCTATTTATCAGAGCTGGTTTTTGTCTTGTTCTAGTCCAACAGAAAGCACTAAATCTATTGTCATGAACACCCTAACCAAATACTAGTATACACTGATAAAAATAATTATGTTAACGTTTCTAACTGCCATATTGATATTAAGGAGATTATTGATAATATTATGCCTAAACCTTATGTGCTTTCCTATGGTCGTTATGGTATTCCACTACTTTTTCTAAAACAAGTTATAAACGTAATTTTAAAAAACCAACACCAAATTCGTGCACTACAAATTGATTTTGCTGATTTTATCATAGATCCCATCATCAGATTTTGACCAAATGTATAATGGGACTACCCATTCTAATAATAAAAGAATCAGAATTCGGACAACATGCTAAAGACTTATTGCTGAACACATATAAAAAATGAAGAGTTTGATGATTTTATTATGGATGTCAATATTAAATATTGACCAAATTTATATGGGACCACCCCTGAGGTATCCCCTTTCTATCGAAAAAAGAATCATAGACAGTGGTCAATGTGATAAAGACTAATCTCTGAAAATATTGAACATACTGAAAAATATTCAGACGAGTTGAAAACATTCTCCTTTTTTTGAAGTCACTTAAAAATGTCTTTTTACACTAGAAAAACCTTTGTACTATCTATTCAATGTATCATTGTCTTTGGAGGCATTTTATGCTTTCTGGAAGGAAAGATTTCTTGTCCCAATTTACAAATGTGACAGCAAGGATGTTATTACAAATTATATGCCTGTTTGCATTCAATCGGAGATTCCTAAATTACTAGAATGTATTATTTAAAAAATGATCATAGGTTACTAATTCTATAATCAATAGTGAGCAACATGGACGTATTTCCAGTAAATCTGTAGCTACATACTTACTTGGTGCTTTATAAAAACATTATAATTGGTGCTTTTGAGCAACACTCTCAGGTTGATGCA